AGTCAAGGATCGCCAGCTCCCTTAGTGACCACCAAATATTTTTATCTCCGGCTTTAAGCACGTCCATCCTCACTACAGTGACTTCATTTGCAGAATAATGGAAAAAATCAGAAATACTATACCTTTAAAATAATTCCTCCTCAGGATTTTGTTTAAAAAACAATTTTGTTCTTTTCTACTTTTTGCAGTCTCTTTTAGTGCTTGAAAAAATCACTAAAAGATGTTACATAATTTTTAACTAGTGCCTTGGCTTTCCTAAGAACGATGAAAGGTAAGTGAAGTGGGTGATTTATGTCTGTGTTGTTGTTAGGTGCTGTCGAGTACAACTATAGCAACCCTATGAACAACAGATCTAAATCCTGTTCTAATCTGGGCCATACTCATACTTCCCAGCACACTAGAGCCCATTGCAGCAGTCACCAGGGCAATCCACCTGATTGAGGGTCTACTTCTCCTTCACCAAACCTCCACATTTCCCAGCAACATACGTAAAGTGTGGAAGGCGAAGCCTCATCATCTTTGCCTCCAAAGAGCACTCTGACTGCACCCTTTCCAAGGTATATTTGTTTGTTCTTCTGGCAGTCCATGGGTGTTAAGTACTCTTCCGTAACACCACAACTGAAAAGCATCAACTCTTCTTTCATCCTTATTCACTGTCCAGCTCTCAGATGCATAGCAAGTGATTGAAAAAGACCATAGTCTGAATCCAGAGGCACCTTAGTCCTCAAACTGACTTCATTATTCCTTAAAAATTTGGAGAGATTCCAATCAGATGCTCTGCCGGGAAAGGAGGGACAATCTCCTCCTGTATTTAAAAAAAATTGGCTTCCTTACTGAACACTTTCCAGGTGCAATACATCTCCCAATTTCCTGACTGCTGGTACCAATGGTGTTAATTGTAGATCCAAGTAAAATGAAATTGTTGCCGGTTTCAGTTTTTTCTCCATCCATCATGATGTTGCTTATCAGTCCAGTGGTAAGAATCTTTGTCCTCTGGATATTGAGATGCAGCCCACATTGAGAGCTACATTCCTTGATCTTCTCCAAGAAGTGCTTCAAGGTCTCCTCACTTTCATCAAGCAAGGTTGTGTCATTTGCATAATGTACATTATTGATGAGCCTCCCTCTGATTCTGATGCCACATTCCTCTTCATAGAATCCAGGTTCTTGAATAATTTGCACAGCATACAGATTTGAGGATACAACCCTGACACACTCCCTTCCTAATTTTAAACCATGGACTGCAGCCTTCAATATGGATTGAAGCTCAACATCAAGAAAACAAACATTCTCACCACTGGGCCAACTGGCAACATCATGATAGACGGTAAAGAGATTGAGATGGTTAACAGCTTTTGTTTGCTTGATTCCACAATCAACTCTTGGTACCAGCAGCCAGGATATCAAATGACGAATTGCATTGGGAAAATCTGCTGTCAGAGACCTCTTTAGAGTACTAAAGAGCAACAATGTCAGTCTGGAGACTTAAGGTGCGCCCAAAACAGGCCATAGTCTTTGCACTTACTCGCTATACTTCAGAAAGCTGGAAAATGACAAGGGATGATAGAAAGAAAATTGATGCCTTTGAGCCGTGGTGCTGGAGAAGAGTATTGAATATACTGTGGAATGCCAGAAGAACAAACATGTTCATCCTGGGGAGAGTGAAACCAGGCTGCTCTTTGGAGGCAAGGATTCTGAGGCTTCATCTGACATAGTTTGGGCATGTTACAAGGAGGGACCAGTCCTTGAAAAAGGGATATCATGCTTGGGATGGTGGAGTGACAGTCCAAGAGAGGAAGACTCTCAATGAGATGGATTGATTCAGTGACTGGGGTAATAGAGGTAGGTGTGTCAGAAACAATAAGATTGGCCCAGGATAGAGCACGGTTTAGGGCTGTTGTACATAGGGTCACTGTGGGTTGCACACAACAACAATAGGTTGCACATAACAGCAAGTGTTCTCTTGCTGTGGTCACCCAACAGCCTCCTGGTCAAGGTAGAGGTTTCACAATTAAGTTCCCATTCTTCTCAGTGTTAGCCATAAATTGTTAGGATCCACAGTCAAATGCCTTTGCATAGTCAGAAAATCATAAATAGACATTCTTCTGGTATTCTTTACTTTCAGCCAGGATCCATCTGACACCAGCAGTGATATCCCTGGTGCCACAGCCTCTTCTAAACTCTGCTTGAACTTCTGGCAGTCCCTTTCTATGTACTATTCTAGCCATTTTGAATGACCTTCAGCAGTATGTTGCTTGCATGTGATAGTAATGGTATTGTTCGATAGTTTCCATATTCAGTTGGGTCACCTTTCTTGGGATTAGACTTTTTTCCAATCCTTTGGCCTCCAAATTTCCTGGCATAGAATGGTGCCAACTACTTTTAATTATTTGGAGATCTCATAATAGTTACTAGTTTTCATAGCTGTAGCTCAAACAGCTTCTCAAAAGCACAGGACATTTTCTTATTATTAATTGGTCCTGTTCCTCGTAGAGTTCCTTCACAAAATAGAAAATAAATGGGTTTGTTTTTATTATTATTGAATAGATGAGTGAACTGGAAAAGCAACCAAGGATATTTTGATCACGCAGAGCCTACCTAAAGGAACATAGTCTCCAGCTCCGAGCTTCTCCATTTGTAGGCACTGTTGACGTTTTAGAGCAGGTAGTCTGTAGGGAGCTGTTCTTCCTCATTCCCATGTTACACATGTTAAAACTGCAGCTTAAAAAACAAAACAAAACTGTATCTCAGTCTAAATGACTGTCCAGGAATATGTAACTAAGTCACAGGTGGAAGCAAGTGCTAGGACTCAAAGCTGTGTCCTTGTCCCGGCTCTGTGTTCTCTGTGTTCTGTGTGAACTTACTCTGCATGTTCAGCAGCATGCATGTCCTACCTGCCATGATACATACATACTAAACAAACAGTGCTTGGAACACTGGTTTTTGTTTTGATTAAAGCATTCAGCTGCTAATCAAGTTCGCAGTGCTAACGCACCAGCCACTCCAGATGACAAAGATCAAGCATTCTACTTCCATAAGGCAGATCTGGTGGCTTAGTGGTAAGGAGCTGAGCTGCCAACCCAAAGGCACACAGTTTGAATCCAACAGCTGCTCCGTAGGAGAAAGTTGCTCAGTCTCCTCCTGTAGTCTCTGAAAACCCATTAGAGGCTCAGCTATGGGCCTTTCTTTTTGTCACTTTGGTATATACTAGCACCTCCCATATAGAAGTACAATCTTGGAGACCCTTGAGGGCCGTTTTACTCAGCCCTGCAGAATCACTGCATGTCAGAATTGACTCTGTGACAGTAGGTTAAGAACACATCAAGAAATATGGGCAAGGGAGCTCTGGTAGCCTACTGGCAAGAAGCTGTACTGCAATCCCAGAGGTACACAGTTCAAATCCACCAGAGCATATGATGGAGGGGCAATCTCCTTCTGTACCTGTCAGATCCAATTTGATGGTGTACACACACACACAATAATAAAATAAAAAATTTAAAAAATATGTTAAAAAAGAAATATGGTCAGTAACTTCACATAAAGTTATGAGGCAATTTCGAATCATAGTGTAGTTTGGCAAGAGTGTAAACCAATATCTGGTCCTGATTTCATCAGTGATCTCCTTTATGACTTTGGGCAAATATGCTTTATGACCTGTTTATTCTAACTAGTCATATGCCCTAAAGCCTTTTGGAAATGACTTGAGATTTATGAAGGATATGGTGAAAACTGTGATGGTCTGGTTAAGTGTTTTTAAATTGACTTGACTGGATTCCATAAAATATAATTATATGGACAAAACCTGGCAATATATTTAGATAATAGCAGTGATCTGGTTGTTAAGACCATGAACACTCCACTGAGAGGCATTTATAGTTATAAAGCTATGTAATAATTCTTTGTAATTTATCATTTTAGTTCACAAATGAAAGCTGCTTATCTTATAGTTAAAAAGAAGGCAGAGAAAGAGACAGATAAACATAGTTTTGTTTTAGGCAAAATAGCCAAAATGAAAAGAACTAAGTTAGACTCAATAAGAACAAGGTGGCAGAGAGCCTTTGAATACATGAGAAGCACCTTGTAGTTAAAAAAGCATAAGGTATTTTGATGAACTAACTCCTTTTCTGTCTTGGCTGCCGCCATGGCACCTATAAAAAAAACGTGGTGAAGGGGGTTAAAAAAAAAGAAGCAGGTTCTGAAGTTCATCCTTGACTGTACCATCCAGTAGAAGATGGACTCGTGGATGTTGCTAGTTTTGAGCAGTTTCTTCATGAATCAAAGTGAATGGGAAAGCTGGTGATCCTGGTGGAGTTTTAACCATTGAAAGAAGCAAGAGTAAGGTAACCTCCAAGGTGCCTTTTTCCCAAAGGTATTTGAACTGTCTAAAACAAAAATTACTTGAAGATTCTGGGAACAAAAGATGAAGCACCTCTGGACTGGGCCCCTGGGAAGTGCAGATGTCCAGGGAGACAGAGGATGGCATGCTGAGGAGCCCACAAGGATGATCCTGTACCCTGTACATTTCCCCAAATAAAATCTTTTAAACCCCCCCCCAAAAAAAAAATACTTGAAGAAGAATAATCTATGTGATTAGTTGCTCTTGGTTGCTAACAGCAAAGAAAGCTAGGAATTACATCACTTCCAGATTAACCAGAGGGAAGAAGATGAAGATGAAAACTCATTCTTCTTGAATATTTTGTATAAGCCCTTAAATAAAACATGGGAACAACAATCAAAAAAAAGGCATGGGAAAGTATATTTTAAATCCTCATTTCCTTTTGGGACCAGATACCTTTCAGAAAAGGCGCTTAAAGCCTTTGTCATCCTTATTTACCTTTTGTGCTGGTAATTTGAAATAGAGAAGGATCACCTTGGGGTTGGGGTGGATATAAACAGAAAGGCATTTGCTCTAACCCTGCGTGTCTCTCCTATAAGCCACCTGAGGTCTGTGAGCCACGCTGCCTTTGCAACCGAAAGCTAGACCACATCCTGGAGAGAGAATGGCCACTTCCTGGGGCGCAGTCTTCTTCACGCTGCTGGTGTCCTGTGTTTGCGGCACTGTCTTCCACAGAGACCAGCTGACTTGGTTTGAGGGCGTCTTCCTGTCATCCATGTGCCCCATCAACGTTAGTGCCAGCACCTTATATGGAATTATGTTTGATGCAGGGAGCACTGGAACTCGGATTCATGTTTATACCTTTGTGCAGAAAATACCAGGTGAGTGCACCTGCTGTCTTCAGCAGAGTCTGTAAATCCACACTTCAGCATTTCTTCCCAGAAACAAATGCGCTCGGAGTATGATGTGAATTACAGAATGTTATGCCTGGTGACTGACTGTCTTCAGAGAATCCTTTGTACTGTTGGTGACTGTCATTTGACTTCAGTGGGAAATTAAGAACCATCTGGGCTGCCTTCCAGAACCCTTAGGTCCAGTGATTGTAATGGGAATGTCTACTCTAAACGGTTTACTGTCTGTCTGTTGAGAATGTTGAATCCCAGGCTCAAACCTTGAGAGCAGATTTAAGAGGATCACCTGAGACTTGTACCATCCTTAGAGAAGGGTTTGAGGTTCAATTCACTTTTTCTTAGTCTTCATTGTTTTCCCCTCTGGCATTGTGTAGAGCTGGAGGGAAGGAGTAGAGCTAGATGTCCAGCAGAAACATGGCAGAGGGTCCCTTGGCAGTTGCCAGAAGCCCTGTATTCCCCTCCTATACGCTTCTGAGACCCTCCTCACAGATCAACTAGCTTGAAATTTCTTAGCAGGGAGAATAGTAGGCTAATCCAGTGAAATTGCTCAATATAAAAAACTTCCTAGTTTTTAGTAATCATCCCTTCTTCTTCTACTTTGTGTTTTTATAGGACAGCCTCCAATTCTGGAAGGGGAAATTTTTGAATCTGTGAAGCCAGGACTTTCTGCTTTTGTAGATCAACCTAAGCAAGTGAGTTTTTTTATGATTAAACCTTTAGCTTATCCGCATTTTGAGAATCACACTCTATCACTGCTATTAAATATCTCATGCTGTTCCTGATATTGCAGTCTTGCAGGAGATCACCTTTCTGTACTCATCTAATCCCCTAAATAACAGTAATTCTATACACCAGACTCACTGGGACTTGGGTGAAAGGAGGCCGGAAAATAGAATGTGGTTATGCAGCATTATTGTTGTGTTCTGACTCCCTCTGTATTTTGTGTTTAAGAATTCAAGTTGAAGCCATCAACTACATTGATTAATACAGATGTGGAAGGTAAACATCAAGTTCTGTAGAATGTGAGTTTTAAGTATGGCGAATGGGAGGACGTAGCTCAATGAACTTCATTTTAGTGTGCCTTGATACAGGTCCAGAATGTTGCCTATGTTTTGGAAACAAGTCAGGAACCCAGGAAGAGAAAAGATTTTGGTAGAAGAGGATGAATGCAGAGTTGTATGGTGACTTAATTCACATTTGAGTACTCACAACATATGGCACTCACTGTGTTAGAGACCACAGTGACATAAAGTAAAGGCAGAAAGGTGAACTTTATCACAAGCATAATCATTAACTAAAAGAAAACCTGATGTTAAAAATAGCTTGAGCTTTCAGCAGTTCTGAAGTGTGGATGATCCTGGCCAGACTATGATCGTCGAATCTGGTTTTCCCCACCTCTTTGGCTCTTCCCCTGAAAGCTTTGAATAAAACTGATTTTTTAAAAAAAATAAAACAAACAGCTTCAGCTTGAAAAACTGGGTTCATTTTCTCAGTTCACTGTTATGTAATGGCATCAAATGATTATTAGTTTTCTAATGCTCCTATAACAGCAATACCACAAGTGGGTAACATTAACAAACAAATTTGTTTTCTCAAAGTTTAAGAGACTAGAATTCAGAATTAAGGACACCAGCTCTCAGAAGGCTTTTTCTCCGTTGACTCTGTGTGCACGTCCTGTTCTCTTCTGCTTCTTTGTTTGATGGAAATCTTCATAACCCACCTTCCCTTCTGCTCACTTGTTTGTTTTTTTCTATTTAAAAAAAATACTGATTCAAGATACACTGTTCACTCATCATTTCGCATTAATACAACAAAGACAGCCCCATTCCCCAAAGAGCTTATAACCATGAGCATGAGGGTAAGAATTTAGAAGACATATTTTGGGGGGATATCATTAAATCCCTAACAGATGTTAAATGGGCTAGAAAACCAGACATTAAAAGCAGCTATATTGTTTGAAAGTGATTTGACATCTAAAGAAAGAGGATTGTGTTGCAGTTGCTAATAATAATGATAATGGTAACTAAGGGTCTGCACGTTGTCAGATGTTGCCATAGAAGATAGTGAATTTAAAATGGGAACTGTATGCATGTTTCTTTTAAAGTAAATACTATGTGCCATGTGTAAGTAATGATGATACAAAGTGAGTCTGTGTTCTGTCTTTATGAAGGACATAGAAAGAACAGCCTGTTAACAGCTACAACTAGCATTTGTGTGCCAGCCCCACACACTGCCTCCCTTAATGCTTACCCCATTTTTTTAGTGAGATAAGGGGTAGCTCAGTTTTACAACTGAGGAAAATGAGCCCCAGAAGGCCAAGTGACACAGAAAGCCACAGGGCTAGCAAGTAAGTCTTCAGATTCTGAACTCTGTCCTTCCTTCTCTGTATCCAATTTTCAAGCCTAAAGCTAGGACCGTTTTTGTTGTGACTTCATCAGAATGAAATGAATTTTGTTGAGAATTCAGAATGAATTTTGTTATTTCTCTGTTTTCTACTCCTGCCCAGCAGAGAGGCTGGGGCTCATAAATCGCTCAGCTCCTGTTATGATCCATCCTTATTCCTGTTGATCTAGACATATTGAGGGAATAGAGCAGTGCCACTAAGTGTTCTCGTCATTGAATGAGTGGGCTGTTTCTTTTGAAGGGTGCTGAGACTGTTCAAGGACTGTTAGACTTGGCAAAAGACTCAATCCCCCGAAGTCACTGGAAAAGGACCCCTGTAGTCCTGAAGGCAACAGCAGGACTCCGCTTACTACCAGAACACAAAGCTGAGACTCTGCTCTTTGAGGTAATTTTTTTTCTTTTTAATTGAGTGAAAATTTACAAGTCATATTGGGTTTTTATTTGATCATTCATATGCATTGAGTTTTATAACATTAAGTGCAACTAATTAATATAATTATATGATATATAATATATGATAAAGCCCTTAGTGAATATTGCCTTTCCCTTCACCTAATTTATCTATTTGTTGATTTTTATGCTCCTCTTCCTCCTTTCTTATCTTTGGTTTGGAACTTGTTAGAAAATTGGGTCTAGAAATACCATTTGATCCAGTAATCCCACTGTTGTTATGTACTGTTGAGTTGGAACCAACCCAGAGCTGATTCTTCAGCAGGTTTTCAGAGTCTGTTAATCACATGGAAGTAGATTGCCCACCATTTTCCCATGGAGCAGCTAGTGAATTTGAACCATGTGCCTTTGGATTGGTAGTGCAACTCCTTACCACTGAACCACCAAACCTCCCTCACCATCCCACTTGTTATGTTGTTAAGTACCATCAAGTCAGAACCAACACATAGCTGACCCTCCAGCAGATTTTCAGAAGCAGTAAATCACACAGGAGGAGATTGCCCACTCTTCTCCCACAGAGAAGCTGGTGAATTTGAACTGTGTGCCTTCAGGATTGCAGTGCAGTTTCTTACCACTAGGCCACCAGAGCTCCCTAGCAATCCCACTTACAGGTATACATCCCAAAGAAATAAGAGCTGTCACACAAACAGATGTATGTATACTCATGTCATTGCAGCATTATTTATAACAGGAAAGAGATGGGAATAATCCAAGTGCCCCTCTGTGAACAAATGTCTAAAGAACATGATACATTCCAGAAATGGTGTACTGTGCAACAAGAAAGAATTCATGAAACACTGAATCATATGGGCACATCCAGCGGACATTATGCTAAGTGAAATAAGTTAGTCATAAAAGAAGTATTATGGTATATTTAAAAAGAGCAAGGGCCATGTGGGGACAGCCATCTCTGACCTTTATCAACTTCACAGAGGGAAATTGTCCCAGTCCACAGCATCAGTAACACAAAACCAATTCCCATGAGGTTAAACATGTCCCCCACACTCCCATGCCTCTTTCTGCTCATCTCAGTTGCAATCTTACTACTTTGCTGGGTCCAGAATCCATTGTAATAGCTCACAGAACCATATTGGGGAAGCCAAAGATTATAATCCAGATTAATAACAGCCTTCAGCCTTTAAGTGTTCTGTAGTTTTCAGTTCTGCCAATATTGGCTCTCCTCCTCCCCTGAGGTCTCATCTCATGTCATATCTACAGTTTGGCCCTGGCTTCTCTTTTCATAGTGGTGAGATTTCTTCACTGGTGGTGGCTGGTGGTGACGAGAGGTCTCAATTCTCTGCATTGGCAGGAAAGATCTATCTCTGCAGCTAGAGATCTTCAGTTTATTGGTGAGACTAGCCATCCCCCCTCCCCCCGCCTTGTAGATTGTTGAGACTGGCCAGTCCCATTATGAATAAGCCAGCATGCCCAATTTAATAGTCCCACCCATCCACATGAGTCAGTCATCCACATTCAAGTAATGCTAGAAAAGCCATATGGAAAGACGAAGTCCACAGCATAAGACCACGATTGTAAAAAGCTAAGGAAATGCTTTCACACAGAACCATTCTTTGAGGTAATTTTGAAATCTTTTTCTTGGTTAGTTCTCTCTTTTCTTTATGAATACTTTTTGATAAGGTTTTTAGTGACACAGTCACTGTAATGATGGGTTTGAGCATATCAGAAGATGTCACACAATAGGGCAAGATTCAGATCTGTTGTTCAGTGCATCACTATTAGTCAGTCAGCTAGATGACACCTTACAGCAACAACAGCAGTTCTTTGATCTGGAACTGCTACCCTCACTGCTGTAGCATTATGGTGACTGTGCGTTCTCACTACCTTCCACTTTTAATATTCTCAAATTTAGAGAGTTATTTTTCCTAAATGTTTAAATTCTTTCTATCTGTGATATCCTTAATTCTCTTAACATGTCAAGGCAGGATCATAGACTTGTTTTCAGGTAGTTTCATTAAGTTATAGTACATACACTAAAATGAGTCATGCCTCACCCCTGAAACCAAGTAACCACTGATTTACTTTCTGTCACCAAGGATTAATTGTGTTTGCTTTTGTGCGGTGCTGTCAAGTTGAGTACAACTCATAGCAATTCTGTGAACAACAAATCTGAACTCCGTCCTAGCCTATGCCTTCCTCACACTTCCTGACACATTAGAGCCCATTATGACAGTCACCACGTCAATCCACCTGGTTAAGGGTCTTCTTTTCCTTCACCAACCCTCTGCCTTTATGAGCATCATGTCCCTCTCCAACGAAGAGCCCCTCCTAGTAACATGCCCAAAGTATGTGAGGTGAAACTTTATCATCTTTGCCTCCAACAAGCACACTGACTGCACCCTCTCCAAGACAGACATGTTTGTTCTTTTGGCCATCTATAGGATGTTCAGTACTCTTCTCCAACACCACATCTCAAACACATAAATTCTTTGGTCATCCTTCATTGCAGCTTCCACTTCCTCATTACCGTTGGTTCCTGCTCATATGGTACTTACTGAAATTTTTCCAGTGAAAGTCAGTTCTTTTTGGTACAGTTACTGGTACTAGATGGGAAATTCTGCGACGGGAAAGTCTGCCGTTAGGGACCTCTCCAGGCTACTGAAGAGCGATGGTGTCACTCTGGAAACTAAGGTGCATCTGATACAGGCTATGGTCTTTGCAGTCACTTATTATGCATCAGAGAGTTGGTCAGTGACTAGGGAGGATAGAAGGAGAATTGATGCCTTTGAGCTGTGGTGCTGGAGAAGAGTATTGAATATACCATGGACTGCCAAGAAAACAAACAGATTCGTCCTAGAGAGGTTTAAACCAGGCTGCTCCTTGAAGTCAAGGATTCTGGGGCTTCGTCTGACACACTTTGGACATGTTGTAAGGAGGGACAAGTCCTTGGAGAGGGACGTCATGCTTGGGAGGGGGGACGGCGTAGGAGGGGAAGACCCTCTATGAGGTGGATTGATTCAGTGGCTGGGGTAATCGGGATGGGTGTATCAGAAGCAGTGCAATTGGCACAGGGTAGAGCAGGGTTTAGGGCTGTTATATATAGGGTCGCTATGAGTCGCAAGCAACTCGACAGCACATAACAACAACAACAATAACAGTGATTGTGTTTTCCCTTCATCTTCTTTTGTTGCTTTCTGGGTCATTCAATATATTGCCCATAGTATCTTGAGGCTCGAGACTTTTTTTCACTTCTCTCAACTTGGGAAATGGCAGAGCGAGTTCTTCCCTTTTTATTCTCCAGTTCCAGTTCTTTGCACATTCTAATGCTTTGCTCTGTCTTCTCGGGCTGCCCTGTGAAATCTTCTGTTCAGCTCCTGTACTTCAGCATGTTTTCTCTGTTTTGATTTCTTGATGGTCTAGTACAATTTTCAGACATCCATTTCCGTTTTTTCTTTCTTCTCTGTCTTTGTCTCTGTTTTTGCTCTGCTCTCTTCATGGATGATATCCTTGGTATCTTCCACAACTCATCAGATTTTCATTCACTGGTGTTTAGTGCTTCAGGCTTATTTTTATGATGATTTTGGAATTCAGTTTTCGAAATGAGATTTTAGAAATGAGGCTGGATATAGATTGGTCAAATTTTGTATTATCAGTCATTTATTCATTGCACTTCCCTTTTAAAAAAAGACACAGTTACTTTACATGTGGATCTCACTTGATGGGCTGCATAGGAATCAGATTGACTATATCTGTGGACAGAATCATTGTAGAAGCTCAGTACTGGCAGTCAAAACGAGGCCAGGAGTGGACTATGGATCAGACCATCAGTTACTCAGGTGCAAATTGAAATTAAAGTTGAGGAAAATTTTAAAAAAATCCATGAGAACCAAAATATGATCTTAAATCTAGTCTATCTGAATTTCAAAATCATCTTAAGAATAGGTTTGAAGCATTGCACACCAATGCTTGTTCTAAACGTTTCATATAAAGGGATCTTAACACTTTGTTTTTGTGTGTATCTGGATTTTGTCTCCTAGCCTCATGTTTTTGCAGTAATCATGGATTTTTAAGATTTGAAAGATTTTTTATGTCATCTATTTAACTCTTCTTATTCAGATAGAAAATTTAACTATAGAAAGTATTCAAAATTTTAACTTAATATTTTAAATTCTACTGTAATATTAAATAAAATTACTTTCTAATATAAAATTAATGATATTCAAATTATATATTATTGTTGTTATTATGTGCCGTGAAGTCACTTGCAACTCATAGTGACCCTGTGTACAACAGCTCTGAACCCTACTCTATCTTGAACTAATCTTACTGTCTCTGACAGAACTATCCCCATTACTCCAGTCACTGAATCAATCCATCACCTCCAGGGTCTTCCTCTCTTGTGCTGTCCCTTCACCCTCCCAAGCATGATGTCCCTCCTTGCAACATGTCCAAAGTATGTTAAATGTATCTTCAGAATCCTTGCCTCGAAGGAGAAATCTGGCTTCACCTTCTCCATAACAAACATTTTGTTCTTCTAATAGTCCATGGTATAGTCAGCACTCCTCTCCAGCACCACAGCTCGAAGGCCTCAACTCTCCTTCTGTCATCCCTAGTCATTGTCCATCTTTCTGATGCATAACAAGCAATGGCGAAGACCCTGGCCTGGATCAGGCACACCTTAGTCTCTAGACTGAGGTTATTCCCCTTCAATACTCTGGAGAGGTCCCTGACAGCAGGCTTTCCCAATGTAATTCAAATAATTTTGTGAATTCGTTGAATAGCATATTATGAGAAATATTTTTAGGCAGAATCCCATTATAGAAAAATAATCTCTCTGAAAAGGCCTTGCTATTATTACAAATGTGCTGATTTACTCTTTTGATTATTAACATAAAGCCCTTGAGTGCCTTGTCTAAGACAAGTCGCCCAGCAGGTTTGCATGAGAACCATATTACTAAAGCATTATAGGAGCTGTCAGGTTTTGTTGTAACTAGTTCATGTATTTTTTTAATAAATTCTTTATTTTATGCTGGTTTATGTACAAAGTTCATATAAATGTTTTTCTATTCTTAATTACTATTACTCTCAAATATTTAGAGCTCTTTTCCCTAAAAAGTTTAAAGTACTTTCTATCCATAGTGCGCTTGGTTATCTTGTCTCATTCACTCATTCAGCATATGAGGACATGCTCTGTACTATGCATAGGTGTAGGTACAGGGGTGTCGATGCAAAAGAGACTATAAGTCTCTGTCCTCATGGAGTCAACTACATTATAGGCTGAGAGAAGCAGACAGTAAATTAGTAAGTATATAGTATGTCAGATATAGTAGATGCTGACGGAGAAAATAGAATAAGGCTGTTAACAGTGCTGGTGGTGGTATCAGGAGATGCTATTTTAAATATGGTTTGGAAGGACCTCCTTGATAAAATGTTGCATTTGACGAGAGATTGGAAGATAATGAAGGAAGCAAGCTGTACATGACATTTTTGGGAAGACTATTCCAAGCTAAAGAAATACCTGTTACAAGGCCTTGAAGCAGGAATGTGTTTCATTCACATGTTGATTAAGTTGTCAGGTTAACAGACGGTCCAAAGGTCAGTGGTTCTTACCTGCTAGCTGCTGTGCCAGAAGTAAGACTTGGAACTTTGCTCCCATAAAGGTTACAACCTAGGAAATCAGATGTTGTTTTTAGGTACCCCCAAGTTGGTTACCACTCATTATGACTCAATGAGTAACAGCTCTGAGCCTTTCCCTGTTGTGAACCAGTTTCATGATCTCCAGTAGGCTCAAACACATTGTTATAGTCACTGAATCGTTCTGTCTTGTTGAGATTCTTCTCTTCCTCTGACCCTCCACCTTTCCCAGCATGACATCTTTCTCCAAGAACTGGCAGTCCTGAAACGTGCCCGCAGTAGAGGAGATGAAGTTTCACCATCCTTGCCTCTGAGGAGCACCCTGGTCACACTTCCTCAAGACAGACTTGCTGGTTTGTTCTTCAGCTAGTCCATGGACTATTCAGTGCTCTTCTGCAATACCACAATTCAAAGGCATTGCATTGATTCTTCTGTTAATCCTTATTCACTGTCCAACTCTCAGATGCATGACACGAAATTGAAAACTACCTTGGCTTAGATCAGGTGTATCTGAATATTTAAACTGACATCATTGCTCTTTAATACTTTGGAGAGGTCCTTGACAGCAGAATGCAACATTGACTTCTTTTTTTTTTTTTTTTATAATTATATTTTATTAATTTTCATAAACATTTACAGAGATTTTGGGCTTCCACTCATTCATTGTTGCACTATTCTCTCTACCCTCCTCCCAGTTTGTTCTTGTCCAAATGCCACAGTGCTTGTCAAAGCCAGTTCTGATTAATCTTCTTTGTCAGTGTATCCTTTGCCATTCCCTATCACTCCTCCCTGAGAGAGACTTCACCCTGAGTCATAAGGAAAAGGGGACGGCGTATTCTCTTAGCTACTTCCTGCTGAAAAGGGACGCTGTGGGTTTCAGGGTGAAGATCTTCTCTCACTACTCTAAAGGGCCCCTTATTATGGAGATTGATTTTGGAATTCAGATGCACTCTTATTGATTGTGCTTGGCTGTACATGTACATATCCTTCAAGATGTATCATGGGGGTGTTGCAACCTAGAAGACACAAATTTGACTAACAAGTTATAAGTACATGAGTCCAAAAATTATGGAAAAGTAAAAGAAAAGATTCTTTCATTGTTTTACAAACCCTCCCCCAGGTCCCCTCCACCATGCAGCCCTCGCTCTAGTCTCCTGTGATGACAGAAACACCCAGTTACATCTCTCTTTTAAACGGTTCTCTCCCTCCTCTGTTTCAGTGCAGTATACATTATTGAACCCATCTTACTCAGTCTCTCCCCAACCCCAAGGACAGTCCCATTCTACAACAGTGGCATCATGTAATATTTGTCCTTTTGTGACTGGGATATTTCACTCAGCATAATGTTCTCCAGAGTCAACCATTTTGAATAATATTGCATGAGTTCCTTGTTTTTTAATGCAGCATAGTATTCCATTGTGCGAATATACCACAGCTTCTCTAGCCATTCGTTTGTTGATGGGCACTTAGGTTGTTTCCAACTCCTTGCTATTGTGAACAAAGCTGCAATGAACATGGGTGTGCATAACATTGACTTCTTGACTGCTGCTACCATAGTTGTTAATTGTGAATCCAAAAAGTAAGATAGATCAGTTCTACTCTGTCCCTTAGCAAGTCAGTGTGACTTCAAACAACAATATCCAGAGTAATAGTGCATCTGTAACAAATGAATAATAGGAGAGAAGTAGACGATGAGGTCAGAGAGGTGAGGAGGGCAGTGTATGTCATATAGAATGTCCATTTATTTTAAGAATGAAAACGTTTTTTTAGTTGAGGAGAAAGATGAGCTGACGTCTGTTTCAGTACTGTCATTCTGTCTGTTGTGAAGGTGTCATTCCTCTTGGTTTGCATACTTGTCTTCTCCTAAAAGCCATTTTATAGATAATTAGCTTTTTCTTCTTGAAACAGGGTCCATGCTTCATCATATAATATTTCTGTCCCATCAGAAATGAGAACAACCAAAAGACTATAGAGTTCTTCCTATTTCTGTTTGGAGAATCCTCCAACTCCTGTGATAATCATATAGAAATGAGATTTGACACTGTTACCATTTCCTCTGTTAGTGGAGCATCAAGAGCTTCTGTCTTTATCCCCATCTCCTAAAATGGAGTTCCCGAAGTCTATATCTTGAGTCTAGACCCTTGACACCCACCTGTAGACCAGAGTCTGACAGGGCTACAGCCTAGTGCATCACCCCTCCGCCAAGGAGGCACAGACCTGCAGAGTGTGCACAGAAAGGCAAAAGGACCTTTTCCTGCAGAGTGCAGTCAAAAGTGCCATCCACGTCCATCTGCTCACCTAAGCGGTGGAGTGCCGAAGGGTTTTCTCATCTTCTAGTGCATGTCCAGCTAGAATTAATCAGGTGCTTCTTGTTGTTTAATTGTGAGTCCTGATTTGATCTAAATGTATAGCCTTCTAGTTTTCCTATAAATCCACATGGTTTGGTTTAGATTTTTGTTAAAGTCATAGTAATTTTGTATTTTGTAAGAAATTATTAATGACTTGCATAGTTCCTTCTCCATTTACTTTGGGAAAAGAGAACGTGATCTGGGAACTTAGTGGGAAAAAGCTACACTGCAACCCTAAAGGCATACAGTTGGAATCGGCCAGCTGCTTTGTGGGAGAATGAAGGGCAGTTTCCTCCCTTGTGATTTACTGCCTCTGGAAACCCGTTGGAGGGGCAGCTTTGGGGCAGTTCTGACCTGACACACTACAGAGGTAAAAAGAATGGCTTTCTAAGCCTTGTTCTAATGGGGGGAGGAGGGAATAGGCAGAAGCCTGGGTCACTGTGGGTCAGAATCTACTTAATAAGATTCAATAAGTAAGATTTAAAGGACTCAGACAACATGTGGAAATCTGCCTTCCTGGCTTAGGGAAGACAGGTATTTTTCCTCTCCCTTCTTTGTTTCCAGGTAAGAGAAGTCTTCAAGAAGTCACCTTTCCTGGTACCCGATGACAGTGTTAGCATCATGGATGGATCCTATGAAGGTGGGAGAGGAGTTGATGTGTATTCTTGGGGCAGAAGGGCAAAGTCAGTGAAAGACCTGGTTATAAAACTGGGAGTAAGGATGGCGTGCTGAAGAAAAGGAGCTCAGAAAGAAGCCACAAACAAGTAGGAGGGATGGAAGAGCAGGAGGTGGAAGGACAGGGGAGAAGTTCATGGTCTAGACACAAAACCGAAAGGGAGAGGAAACAGATGGGGCCAGGGAAGGGAACGTGCTCTGAGATGTAATCCTTGTCTTTTTCCTTTTTATAGGCATATTAGCTTGGGTAACTGTGAATTTTCTGACAGGTAAATACATTCTCAAGTCTATCATAAATTTTTTACTGGGTTTCACACATTGTCAGAAGAGCAAAAATATTCTTTATTTCTTGCCTGTATTGTTTTGTTGTTTGGTTTGTTGGTTTTTGTTTTGTTTTCATTTTTTTTTAAAAAAAAAAAAAAAGAAAAGATGGGAAGCTCCTATCTGCAACGTGCTTTCAAGCCCTCAGCTGCAGCAAGTCTTTCTGGTTGACATTCACCTGCAGCCATTTGGGGAGGGGAGCAGGGGGATATTTCTGGGATACCTCTAGTGTGCTACACAAGTAGTGGAGAAGTGGCAGACTTCAGAAAAGTGATTCGGAGCAAACAGCCATAGTTCAGTTAAAGTATTGTGCTGTCCAAGATGCAGCGCATGCTCAGAGCAGCTCTTGTTCACAGGTCAGCTGCATGGCCGCCGCCAGGAGACTGTGGGCACCCTGGACCTCGGGGGGGCCTCTACACAAATCACTTTTCTGCCACAGTTAGAGGTGAGTCTTTTACATGAAGGTGTGGTTAGCATGTAGATATTTTGGTGCCATGAAGGAGGCACCACATTTTTAGACAGAATAGGCTGAGAAGAATCAGTTAATGACTAGGTGAGCTATATTTATAGTCTAGGCCCTCACACTGTTCAGCATCCCTTTGACCCCTCAAAGGGATGTTGTGAGATTAACAACTTAAGCTACTACAGGAAAACCAGGGTTCTCCCACCAGGAAAGTAAGGTTAGTTTAAGGGCATGTGGAAGAGCACATGGTTAGGAGGGAAAGGTAGGGTTTTCTAAGAGAAAAAGATTGTGCAAATTATGGCACACACAACTGGCCACTAAAATGACCTCTAACTGGTTAGCTGCTTTGTCTTCTTTCAAGAAGGTTACGCAGGGGTCACTCGCATGACACCTGACAGCTCTTCCAAAAGTTAAAGGTCATTCAGGGGGAACACCCTGGCATGCCATGTTGCTTCTGTCGGGTGTGGTCCTGGACCTTCTGGTGAAGGACGCCTCAGAATGGCTGCAGAAGCCAAGTGCTGGCCTTCCGGAGCTGAGCTGTCTCCGGAAGAGAGGCTTTGATTTAGTGCAGCATGTAAAGAGGAAAATAGAAAAGTGACGCAGAGCAAACCCAGCAGTAATCCAGCTAAAGTGTTTGTTGCTGTTCCCTGCGCGGCTCATCTGTGACACAAGGTCAGATAGTCTTATCTGTTATGTAATCGAAAAGGAAATGACTATCACATAAAGAGGCTCAGGAAGAATTTCAACTTGCTAGGGAGATCTTCCTCAAAACTGTCCTCCTTCAGTTTGGTGTTTCCTCAAGTAAGCTGAACATGAAATTCCATATGACCCAGCTAGCAATTCCACTGCTTAGAATATACCCCAGGAAAATGAGAACTGAGGTACAGAGACTTGTACACCAGTTTTCATCACAGTGTTAGTCACCATTGCAAGAATATGCAAACAGCCCAAATGTTGAGCCACAATCGAATGGTTTGAGAAATTATTGAATATCATTGCAGGAGCAATGATTTTATAAATACTACCTAACTTGGGAGGGACTGGAGAACATTATGCTAAGTGATCTAACTCAGTCCCATAAGGACAAATACTGTATAAGACCATTATTGTAGAATGAGTATGAGGAAGCAAGGGGGCAGAGAGTGGAAGCAGAGGGGTGAGGATGGGCAGGTGTGGGGGTGGGATGGGAGGATTAATCATGGGGTTGCACACAATTTGATGGGTAGAGGGGTAAGGGAAATGGAAGGATCTGGTATGAAAAACAATGTATTTGAATTTTGTACATGAACTAGTATTTTTTAAAAAAAACAACTGTCCTAGAATAAAAAAAAAAGAGCACTTCTTCTTTTTAAAACATTATTAAAGAAATGTTAGTTTCCTGTTAATTTCTTGCTTGCACTATCTGCTTCATCTCTATTTTTTAAGAGAGGGGCATGGATGGTGGTACTAACATCTTTAGATAGTTGCAGATACTGAATATCTTTTTCTTTTTTTTTTATATTTGCAGAAAACTCTGGAACAAACCCCTAGGGACTACCTCACTTCCTTTGAGATGTTTAACAGCACTTATAAGCTCTATACACATAGGTGAGGAGGGGGACAAACCCATTGCCATCAAGCCCATTTCTGACTCGCAGCGGGTTTCAGAGGCTGTACGTCTTCACAGGAGGAGGCTGCTCATCTTTCTCCCTTGAGGTGGCTCAGACCACCACCGTTTTGGTTACACCAGTATATAACACACCACGGCTGCAGGCCTCCCCGGGGAAGGGGACAGGGGAGAATAATTCCAGTTTGTGTTGAATGATTCTCCTGACGTTTTTATATCTATCGTGCAATCAGTCAGTCAGCTAGAGCCTAAGGCCTATCAATTTAAGCCAAAGCCACTGTCACCTGGAAGACCCAAAGGGTTCCCCTGGTCTTGGCCTCAGAATGGTGTTATTTGAGTCACATTGTCTCTAGAAGGAGGATACCCTCAGAGGGTTCAGCAGACACTCTATGACAAGTCTCCTGAGCTGGCCTTTAATGGTCAAAATCCAGCCTGGAATTTGATCCCAAGGGGACTGACTGAGGAAATAATGAGAGCTTTTCTATGGCTTGTTCTCTGATTGGGATCCAAGTAATTGTCAGTCTCTTCGGGCCTTTTAAGTTATAGCTGTGGGAGTTCTTATCACACAGCCTTGAACCAAACTATACAGAAACTACCTTTTGTTGACCACATAAGATGAAGTAAGACACGGAAGTAGAACAAAGTGTTCTGAAGCGACAGAGCAACCTATTGCTACATGTTACTTAGGAAAGAGGGGGCCTTGGCCTTGGCCTGGAAACCTTCAGAGCAGCGTGAAACTTGTAAATTTGTATTTTACAGTTACTTGGGATTTGGATTGAAAGCTGCAAGATTAGCCACCCTGGGAGCCCTGGAGACAGAAGGTTTGTCTGGGACCTATGCTGGGTTGGGGATATAGAGGCAGGATTATGTTGAACTGGAAAGCATGTGATGTATAAAGGACCAGATAGTAGATTCCTGTTCTGATTTGTAAATTCTGGTGCTTCAATGGGTGTTATTAGCTGGTATTATAATGAAGTGTGCTGTGTAAGGGGAAGAGCTTATGATGAAAAATGTCAGTAGATTTCAGGCTCCAGGTGAAGGAACAGGCAGGAGCATAATCAAGGCCTTGGCTTCATGTGGGTGGAGTAGGAAACAGGGTCTGGTCCAGTGCAAGGCAGAACGGCTGAACAACTCAGTGATCAACTCATAGTTGGTAGACAGGTTAAGAGCTCAATTTTGGAGATCAAGAAGAACAGTTCGATTCCAGTTTTGTAACTTGAGGCAAGTTTTCTTTTCTGTGCCACTCTCATCTCTTTAAATGATATTTTGTATTTAATGCAGTAGATCTGTTTCCTGGCTTGTGTTAGTGTTGTTGTTAGGTGTCATCAGTGCTGGTATCCTAGAACACATGCCTGTCTGATTAAAAAGACCCAGATCAGTCCGTTTTACCTCACTCGAGCCTCGCATGTTGATCTGTATCGTGCCATTTCGATTTTTACAACGTCTAGCTTTCCTAGCTTCATTCTTTGTACATTCTGTATTCCAATTGAAATGGATGTTTGCAGCTGCTGCTTCTCCTTTTGACTCGTGCCACGTCCACAGGTCAGAGTCCCACGAGCTTGCCTCCATCTCCGTCAGTGAGGTCAGCTGTACTGTGAGGAGGCAGCTCGTCCCTGCTTGTATTTTGAGTGACTGCAGCCTGAGGGGCTCGTCCCCCAGCAGAGAGCCTGAGACAGGTTCCTGCTGCTCTCCATCAGGGTTTCACGAGCCAGTGTTTTCAGAAGCGGTTCACCAGGTCCTGTCTTAGTCCAGCAGTTGCACTGAAACCTGTTCACCCTGGTGACCTTACTCGAACATGAAATGCCGGTGCATGCCTTCCAGTAACAGAGCCACACACAAGCCTGCACAGTCTGACGAGCTGACAGACAGCTTTCATAGGAAGGTGTTATTGTCATGATTCCATGGTCAGGTTCACCGTCTTGATGATTTCAGAGTTTGTATAGCATCTTGAGATGGATTTCATTTAAGATTCATAAAAACAGTGAGGAAGGTAGCACAGATTTTTCCAGTTTTTGGTGCTGTCTTTTCTTTTTTTGAAAGAAAGAAATTTATTTCTGTGTGGGCTTTAGATTTTTTTTCTGAGAAGGTAATGAAAACTGCTCCCTTCTGCCAAATAAACATGTGCTCAAAATTTGCCCATAATGTTGAGGGTTCACTAATCCCACAAAGCCCATTTGTGAGCCCTGAACTAGGAAATTTTTGTCACCTGATGTAGTTGTGGATCCAGTTCCCTAGAATCTCAAGGCTGCACCATCCTTGCGATTCCTTTGAACATGTGATTTCTTGCTTGTCCTCACTCGTTCACTTGTCTCTTCGTGCCCTGGTTTCTTCCAGGGATTGAGGGACAGACCTTCCGAAGTGCCTGTCTGCCACCATGGTTGGAAGCCGAGTGGATCTTCGGGGGTGTGAAATACCAGTATGGTGGCAACCAGGAAGGCAAGTGATTTATTCCCCCTAATGGTTAAAATTACTTTGACAGTTGAAGTTCTGCAAGTTTTCCAGAACTCAGTAAGAACCTGTCATGTTCCAGGACTCATTAAAAAAAAGATGTTCGTGTACTTCCAAAGAGTAGTGTGAAGTGACTGTGAACGAGGCAGCTGTCACTCTTTCCTTGACCACATACCATAGGTCTGGTAGAGGCCTTGTTCGTTGAAGGCCTTATGAGCAGAGTGAAATGCCTTTCAGGTTAACTTTTTGTTTAGCTATTTAAATCATAGTAAAACTTGAAACTGAGATGGAAATAGTATCTTGAGTATAATGAAGGACAGAGACCTTGAAATCAAGGAAGACATTTGATTTCCCATAAAGGAGCCAGGTGAGCCCTCCGGGTGCTTGCTTATAAATGCCGGGAAACACTAAACTAGATGCAGCTGCTCAAGCTCCGTGGTAGCTTTATTTAGTGAATACAGGTTAGGGAAGGAAACTGCCGTCGAGAACGAGGTACCAGAGCAGAAGCCCATTTGTCCTGAGCCCCCACCGCCTCCTGCTTTCCTCGATCTTCCTGTTGGCTCCAGCCGCCTACCTCCAAGAGTGGTCTTTGCCTTCTCATTTTCTCACTTTACCCCTGTGCGCCACCTTTACCCAACAGGGGAGGTGGGCTTTGAGCCCTGCTATGCCGAAGTACGGAAGGTGGTACAAGGAAAGCTTCACCAGCCGGATGAAATCCAGAGAAGCTCCTTCTATGCATTTTCTTACTATTATGATCGGGCTGCTGACACAGACATGATTGGTAAGTTCACTTCAGGTATCACTTCAAAGAGGAGACTGGCCAGAATTGAGGACGGGAGGGGAGAGAGAGAAGAGGTACTGGGAGGGTGACCTACTCTTCTCCAGTGCTGGCTGTTAGCCTGACATGGTCACTCATATAAAAGTGGACTATGATTTAGATTCTTTGGAGCTAGGTCACCTAAATAACTGAAATATAAGAAGGTGACATAAACAACTTAAGAACAACTAATATAAAAAACAAACGAATATATAGAAGTCTTTTAAAAGTAACTTTATTTGGATGTAATTGACATACAAGAAAAGGCACATAATTTAAAGTGTAACCTGCTGAGTTTTGACGTGTACCTGTGAAACCATCACCACATTCAAGGGATAAGTGCAAGCATCACACCCGAGTTTCCTGATGCTCCTGTGTGGTAGCTTTTCCCTTACTTTCTATTAAGAAAAGCTTGTGCATACATTTCCATATCCATTTGTTTAGATGTGGAAATTCATGCACATGATTTCTCATGGTCTGAGATATGAATTACTTTCCTGATGACTAATGTGCCTTTGCTGCTTATGTATGTCCTTTTTTTTTTAATAACAAATATGCTTTCTTTTAAATGCACACTTTGATGAAAGCAAACTAAGGCTCAATTGGCACCAGCCTCAGTAACGTTTTTTTTAAATTAATTAGTAAATTGCATATGAAACCAATTTATCTAAGGTTCTAAGGTTCTGGCCATCATTTCTCTAGGTTGACTACTTTTCTTTCCTTTATCTCTTGAGAATTTCATGGCTGTGACACCATGGTTGGATGTTAGATCTGAGAATTTTTCATATGTCTTGTATATTTTAAGAGGTAGAGGCCAAAGGTAGGGAACTAGTCTGAGCTTTTCACAGGTAAGAGACATAAACAGTGGCATTTGTCCAATCCACATATGACCACAGGGAACAGATTATTTCTCTGTCTTTATGAAGAAACAGGATGAGAGAGGTTGACAGCGGTGGTTGGATGGATGTGGCACCTTGGGTACCTCTCTTATGACTCTGACTTCCAGTTCATCCTAATTTTATAAACTCTGATGACTTGTTCCCCTACCCTGGTGTGGGTAGGAGAGTGAGACAGTCCAGTGCTTTCCATTTCAACCTTTTATGCGTCCCACCAATCTTATTTGCCCAGCTTGTATGCCATTCTCACAGCATGATCACCTCTCCGGTTCGGCCGTGGCTGCTGCTGCTGCCTGAAGCGTGTCCTACATTTTCCTGCCTCTTCTTTCCCGGGGTGGGGAAGGTCTCCTCCCCTCCCCTCCCCTCCCCTCCCCTCCTCCCCTCCTCC